GAGTGAGAGAGTGAGTGAGTGAGTGTGTGTGAGAGTGATTGAGTGAGTGTGAGAGTGAGTGAGAGTGAGTGAGAGAGTGAGAGTGAGTGTGAGAGTGAGTGAGTGTGAGTGAGTGAGTGAGTGAGAGTGAGTGTGTGTGTGAGAGTGAGTGAGTGAGTGAGTGAGAGTGAGTGTGTGTGTGAGAGTGAGTGAGTGAGTGTGTGTTTGTGTGAGTGAGTGAGAGAGTGAGTGAGTGAGTGTGTGTGAGAGTGATTGAGTGAGTGTGAGAGTGAGTGAGAGTGAGTGAGAGAGTGAGAGTGAGTGTGAGAGTGAGTGAGTGTGTGTGAGAGTGAGAGTGAGAGTGAGTGTGTGTGAGAGTGAGTGAGTGAGTGAGTGAGAGTGAGTGTGTGTGTGAGAGTGAGTGAGTGAGTGTGTGTGAGAGTGAGTGAGTGAGTGAGTGAGTGTGTGTGAGAGTGAGTGAGTGAGTGTGTTTGTGTGAGTGAGTGAGTGAGTGAGTGAGTGTGTGAGTGAGTGAGTGAGTGAGAGAGTGAGTGAGTGAGTGTGTGTGAGAGTGAGTGAGTGTGAGAGTAAGTGAGAGTGAGTGAGTGAGAGTGAGTGAGAGTGAGTGAGTGAGAGTGAGTGAGTGAGTTTGTGTGAGATTGAGTGAGTGAGTGTGTTTGTGTGAGTGTGTGAGAGAGTGAGTGTGAGAGTGAGAGTGAGTGAGTGAGTGTGTGTGAGAGTGAGAGTGAGTGAGTGTGTGTGAGATTGAGTGAGAGTGAGTGAGTGAGTGTGTGTGAGAGTGAGTGAGTGAGTGTGTGTGAGAGTGAGTGACTGTGTGTGAGAGTGAGTGAGTGAGTGAGTGAGTGTGTGCGAGATTGAGTGAGTGAGTGTGTTTGTGTGAGTGTGTGAGTGAGTGAGAGAGTGAGAGAGAGTGAGTGAGTGTGAGAGTGAGTGAGTGTGTGTGAGATTGAGTGAGAGTGAGTGAGTGAGTGAGTGTGTGTGAGAGTGAGTGTGTGTGAGAGTGAGTGAGTGATTGAGTGAATGAGTGTGTGTGTGAGTGAGTGAGTGTGTGAGAGTGAGTGAGTGAGTGAGTGAGTGAGTGATTGAGTGATTGAGTGATTGAGTTAATGACTGTGTGTGTGAGTGAGTGTGTGAGAGAGTGAGAGTGAGTGTGTGTGTGTGTGAGTGAGAGAGTGAGAATGAGTGAGTGAGTGAGTGAGTGAGTGAGTGAGTGAGTGAGTGTGTGAGTGAGTGAGTGAGAGTGTGTGTGTGAGAGAGAGAGTGAGAGAGAGAGTGTGTGTGAGTGTGTCCTGTGCTGAGTCACTATAAAGCTGTTTTCTGGGTCTGTGCTGTTTGTGATCTCTGGCCTGTTTTCTGGCAAACGGGAAGGGATCGATGTCTCAGCGCTCCTCGAGGGTCCAATCACCCGTCGCACAGGCTGGGTCGAGGTTATCTGAGTGTTGCATTTGACCCAGTGCTGGACGGGTGGATTCAGATGGTCTGGTTACAGAGTATCTAATAATTACAGTCATGGTTGAATATCTTTCATTGCTCTTGTGATACTTCATATTTCTGCTGGTTCTTTGGCAAACGGATGAGAATGAACTTCATCAGGATTCGAGGAATTTAGAAATGTTACATTTGAGTAAGCAACAATGTTGTGCATTCGGTCAGGTGATACCCGGCCTAAATAATGTATCCCACAATGCAATGTGCTCAACTTGACCTTCTATTTCCAGTGTGATGAATGCCATAACATAGCATGTTGTTTTGCTGTTGTTTTTTGTTTTTGTATTTTATAACATAAAATATAACATTGCTATGTGTATGTTTTTGTTGTCATGTTATGTCTTGTATTATGTTTTTTATATTATAAAACACAGCAAAATATAAACCATATCATGTTATGTTGTTGTTTTTATGATGTTATGTTATACATGTATCATAAATGATGTTATAAAAATATCATAAACCAAGGCAAAGCATTACATATGACAACAAAACATGTCATGTTATGTTTATAATTTAGAAAACAACATAAAAAATAACATAACAGCAAAACACGTTATCTTTTGTCATGTTATGTTGTTTTATTTTACGACATATATTTCACATAAAACAAAGCATAACATAAAATTAAGATGGTATTTTTTGCTATGTTGTTTTATATTTTGCTGTTATGTTTGTTATAAAACAACAGGACAATTTATTGTAGCATGTTATGTTTTTAATGCTATAAAAATAGCATAAAGAATAGCAAAACATAACTATTACAACAAAACATGTCATGTTTTTGTTTTTTATTTTAGAAAACCTAACATAACAAAAGATAACATGTTTTCCTGTTATGTTATGTTTTATATTTTACAACATATCACAAACAGCATAACATAAAACTTAAGATGTTAGGTTTTGCTGTGTTATGTTTTTTTTATTTTTTATTTTATTTTGCTGTTATGTTTTTTGTTATAAAACATAAAACATAACACAGCGAAATATACTGTAACTTATTATAATTTTATGTTATTTTTTGTTATAAAAATATCAGAAAACTATGGAAGCTTGTTTCCGCCACAGAATGAAAAATAAAAAAGGTAATTGCGACTTTTTATCTCACAATTTTGACTTTTTTTTCTCACAATTGCGAGTTTACATCTTGCAATTCTGACTTTATTTCTCAGAATTGCGAGATATAAAGTCAGATTTGATTAATATAAAGTCGCAATTACAGGTTATAAAGTCAGAAATGCGTGATATAAAGTCAGAATTGCGTGTTGTAAAGTCAGAATTGATTGATATAAAGTCAGAATTGCGAGATATAAAGTCAGAATTGATTGATATAAAATCGCAATTGCGAAATATAAAGTCAGAATTCATTGATAAAGTCAGAAATGCGTGATATAAAGTCAGAATTGCGTGTTGTAAAGTCAGAATTGATTGATATAAAGTCAGAATTGCGAGATATAAAGTCAGAATTGATTGATATAAAATCGCAATTGCGAAATATAAAGTCAGAATTCATTGATAAAGTCAGAAATGCGTGATATAAAGTCAGAATTGCGTGTTGTAAAGTCAGAATTGATTGATATAAAGTCAGAATTGCGAGATATAAAGTCAGAATTGATTGATATAAAATCGCAATTGCGAGATATAAAGTCAGAATTCATTGATATAAAGTCGCAATTGCAGGTTATAAAGTCAGAAATGCGTGTTGTAAAGTCAGAATTGATTGATATAAAATCGCAATTGCGAGATATAAAGTCAGAATTGATTGATATAAAATCGCAATTGCGAGATATAAAGTCAGAATTCATTGATATAAAGTCGCAATTGCAGGTTATAAAGTCAGAAATGCGTGTTGTAAAGTCAGAATTGATTGATAAAGTCAGAATTGCGTGTTGTAAAGTCAGAATTGATTGATATAATATCGCAATTGCGAGATATAAAGTCAGAATTGATTGATAAAATCGCAATTGCGAGATATAAAGTCAGAATTCATTGATATAAAGTCGCAATTGCAGGTTATAAAGTCAGAATTGCGTGTTGTAAAGTCAGAATTGATTGATATAAAATCGCAATTGCGAGATATAAAGTCAGAATTGATTAATATAAAGTCGAAATTGCGAGATATAAAGTCAGAATTGCGAGATATAAAGTCAGAATTGATTGATATAAAGTCGCAATTGCGTGTTATAAATTCAGAATTGATTGATATAAAGTCGCAATTGGCTGTTATAAAGTCAGAATTGCGAGATATAAAGTCAGAATTGCGAGATATAAAGTCAGAATTGCGAGATATAAAGTCAGAATTGATTGATATAAAGTCGCAATTGGCTGTTATAAAGTCAGAATTGATTGATATAAAGTCGCAATTGCAGGTTATAAAGTCAGAATTGCGAGATATAAAGTCAGAATTGCGAGATATAAAGTCAGAATTGATTGATATAAAGTCAGAATTGCGAGATATAAAGTCAGAATTGCGAGATATAAAGTCAGAATTGCGAGATATAAAGTCAGAATTGATTGATATAAAGTCAGAATTGCGTGTTATAAAGTCGGAATTGCGTTATAAAGTCAGAATTGCGTGTTATAAAGTCAGAATTGCGAGATATAAAGTCAGAATTGCGAGTTATAAAGTCAGAATTGATTAATATAAAGTCGCAATTGCAGGTTATAAAGTCAGAAATGTGTGATATAAAGTCAGAATTGCGAGATATAAAGTCAGAATTGCGAGATATAAAGTCAGAATTGCGAGATATAAAGTCAGAATTGCGAGATATAAAGTCAGAATTGCGAGATATAAAGTCAGAATTGATTGATATAAAGTCAGAATTGCGTGTTATAAAGTCAGAATTGCGTTATAAAGTCAGAATTGCGTGTTATAAAGTCAGAATTGCGAGATATAAAGTCAGAATTGCGAGATATAAAGTAGCAATTGCGTGTTATAAAAAAAAAAAAGTTAGTCTTATTTTTTTATTTTTATTCAGTGGCGGAAACAAGCTTCCATAGAAAACAGCAAAACATTACACACAACACCATGTCATGTTGTTGTTTTTTTATTTTAGAAAACAACATAAAAAGTTATTTTAGAAAACAACATAAAAATAACATAACATGTTTTGCTGTTGTTTTATATTTTACAACATATAACATAGCAAAACATAACATCTTAAGTTTTATGTAATGTTATGATTTTGGTCCATTCTGCTCTAGTGCGTAAGAACGAGCCGATGATTGAATCTGTAAATAAAGCCAAATAACAGAAAAATTAGAAATAGTCCTCAGATGCATGTCTGTAATTTATAGCAAAAAAAATCTGATAAATTAAAAAAGTTAATACTCCACCACCTGCGTGAGATCACTAACCAGCGTGGTTGAACAACAAATTGACGACGTTACTAGCTAGTCGTGACCAGTCGATCTCATCAACTTTGCATCGTACTAAACATGAACTAGCGGCTGTTTATCCTGTAATGTAAAGCATCCCTATTGAGTCTGGATTGTGTGTTTTGTGTGTTCAGGAGATCACGCTGACAGAAGGCAGTAAAGTTTTTGCCACATGGAAGAATCCTCCGCCTCCAGTCTTCATGCAGTTCTTCTTCTTCAACGTCACCAACCCTGACGCCTTCCTGAAGGGAGAAGCCAAAGCTCGCCTCACTGAGATGGGGCCGTACACCTACAGGTGCGTCACACGCTTTCATCCAATCAGCAAATCCCTGCGTTTCTGTCCTAACCAGCCACACATTAGTGGCAGGGCATTGTTCTTGGTCACATTGTTGGTTGTTTGCAATTGCACTGGGAAGCTCCGCCCACAGTGAGACCTCATTGGTCCAAAATCCCACTCTACACAACTGCATAACATGTTATATGTTGTGTTAGGTTTTATGTTTTGTTTTGTTATGTTATGTTATGTTATGTTTTGTTTTATGTTATGTGTTGTCTTATGTTATGTTTTATGTTGTTATGTTATGTTATGAAGCTCCGCCCACAGTGAGACCTCATTGGTCCAAAATCCCACTCTACACAACTGCATAACATGTTATATGTTGTGTTAGGTTTTATGTTTTGTTTAATGTTGTTGTGTTATGTTATGTTGTGAAGCTCCGCCCACAGTAAGACCTCATTGGTCCAAAATCCCACTATACTATGTTATGTTTAATGTTATGTTACGTTACGTTGCATCTTAAAACAACATAAAATATAACAAAACATAACAAAAGATACCATGACAAAACATGTAATTTTGCGTTGTTTTTTGGTGTTATGTTGTGTTACATTACGTTATAATGTTATGTTATGAAGCTCCGCCCACAGTGAGACCTCATTGGTCCAAAATCCCACTCTGCTCAACTGCATAACATATGTTATGTTTTATGTTTTGTGTTTGTTATGTTATGTTATGTTACGTTGCCTCTTTAAAAAAAAACATAAAAAGTTTTGTTATGGTATCTTTTGTTATGTTGTTGTTTTTGTTGTATTTCTTATAAAACAGCATAAGATAGAAAAACATTACATATAACAATACTGAACGTTATGTTATGTTTTTGTTATAAAAACAACATAAAACAACACAACATAAGATGACAAAACAACATAACATGCTCTTTTGTGTTGTGTTTATATTTTTGCTGTTATTTTTTATTCTTTTTTATTTTATAAAACATAAACATAATGCAACAAAATATACCATAACATGTGTTGTTTTTTAGGATATGTTGTTATTTATGTTATAAAACATAACATAGCAAAACATTACATATAACAGCATGTTTTGCTTTGCTATGTTTTTATGTTCTAAAACAACATAAAGCAAGATAAAATATAACATAACATGTTTTGCTATGTTATGTTTTTTGTGGTATGTTTTATATTTTGCTGTTATTCTGTTTTTATCTTAATATTACATAAAACCTAATATAACAAAACTTAACACGTTATATTTTGCTGTTATGTTTTATATAATGTTTTTTTTGTGTCAACAAAACAACAGCATAACATTACAACGGCAAAAAATATGTAGTTTTAACTTTTAAGTTATGTCAAAATAACATAAAAAAAAACATAATATTTGATTTGATTTGAATAACTTTATTAATCCCACACTGGGGAAATTCCATTGTTACAGCAGCTCCAATAAGATACAAAATATAAGAATTGAATAAAATGAATAACAATATTAATAATAATGATAATAATAATAATAATACAACAACAAAAACCACATAACCTAACCACATAAACTGTAAAAAAAAAAAAGACATTATCAGTGAATCATGACAACTTCTGTTTTAACATTACTTTAACTTATCAATAATTTAAGGAGATTCAACTCTATTTTTTTAAGTCAGTTTAATATAATTTACGTTGAATGACTTGCACAGACAGATTATACTTAAAAATAGCAACTGAATTTAAGTTTTTAAGTTGAAATAGGTGGACATTTTTTACAGGTTAAAACATAACATGTTATGTTCTGGTGTTATGTTTAGTTTTTATGCTATGTTTTTTTTTTAAGACAGAAGAAGAAGTTTAATGCCCATTATGAAACACTGAGAAAGCAATGCATAGTTGCAATTATGGTGAGACGTGTTCAGAAAAGCAACAACACACAGAGGCGAGCGAGCGCAGCGTCTCGGTTTGCTTTGGCCATGTGACAGAGGCAGCGTGAGATCATTCTCCATGATCATTTGGCTTGTGATGAAGCTCAGTAACACTGACGGTCAGATCCGAGTCCGCTGCGGATCTCAGCACAAATCTGGAGATGCTGTTCAGTCTTAAAACACTCACAGCGAAAGTCCAGCGTAAGCTATTCAGTTTCCTGAGTCATCTTCTGGCGTCGGGAATATCAGACCAGCCATCTAATCAGTTTTAACCAGCTGGAATTAATTAACATTCCAGCATTTTATTGTTCTGTAATTAAAGAAAGAGAGTGAAACTAACAAAAGCTCATAATGTCGTAAAACGGCTGCTATCTGAAGTTATTGCTGTGCTAATATATATATACATCACCGCACACGTGATCTCTCGCTGCATTATGTAAACTCTTTAACTTGTGTCTTTAGCATCAATCCCATCATGCATTTCAACTTAATTTTTTTTTTTTAAATTATATACATATATAATTTATAATATTCATTAATGTAATACAATAATCACGATATATACTTTATACCTTATTTATATATTATATTAATTTTATTTATAAAAATATTTTAATATATAATAATGACTGCATAAAATGTGTGTGTATATATATATATATATATAAACATTAATTTATATTTGATAAACATTTCTAGACAACTTAATTTCTATGTATATTTTATACATTAATTATTTTATAAAATGTATTATATTATTGGATCTATATTGTATTATAATATAGCAACATATCATATTATAATTAGGGTTAGGGTAACCAATATATTTGTATATTATATTTAAATATTTTAATATATTAATTGTTAACATTCATTTATATTTGATGTACATTTTTTGTATTTATTTTATAAAATAAATTATAATTATTTTATAAAATGTACTGTTACTATAATGTATTATAATATAATATTATAAAATATGGTATCATATATTTAATATTAATTTATACAATTAATTTATCAATAAATATATATAAAAAATGTTTATTTATATAATCAATTAAACTAAATATATATATTAGGGCTGTCAAATGATTAATCACGATTAATCACATCCAAAATAAAAGTTTTTTTTACATAATATATGTGGGTGCACTGTGTATAATTATTTTGTATATGTATAAATACACACACATGCATGTATATTTAAGAATTTTTTTTATTTATATATAAAATATTTATATTTATATATAATATAAATTATATATAAATCTGTATACAGTATATACATGAAAATATTTCTTAAATATATACAAGCATGTGTGTGTATTTATATATATAAAATAATTATACACAGTGCACCC